GCCGAGAAGAAAGAAGAAGATCGTGACAAGAAGGCTTGTGTCGCGCGACACATGTGTTTCGGGCCAAATTTCTCTATTTTGCAAAGAAGCCCATAAGTTCTTAAGAAGCCCAAAGAAGTCTATCTCGTGTTTAATGTCTTTAAATAGGATTTTAGATGGTTTTTTATTGGGAACGAAGAGATTTTTATCGGTGTGATTATTTGAATTGAATATTTTGTTTCGACGGAATAAAGTCATGTATACTTTGTGCTTCCTGATCTCATTTACCGTGGTATGTATCATGTATGTAACAAAAGTTTACAAATTATAGAGCTTCCTTGTTGGAGACTTGATATATAATTTATGCATTTTATTTATACATAAGATTTTTTTTTTTTTTGGGGTCGAAACATAAGATTTTATAAAATGTAAAATATAGTAGAAGTCGAAATCAACTGTTTAACTATTTAAGTCAAACTAGTGGTTCATACCACTCACTAGTTAATAAAACAATTTCTATCGAATCAAAAGAGCAAAACGAGTCGTACTCGAATTTAAGGAATAACAAAAGAAATTTGAAAAAGAGAGAGGATATAATAAACCAATTAAATATGTTAATTACTTTTACAAAATGCCCTAGCTCTCCTTAACGAACCCCATCCATTCTCTGGAAAGGGTTTTGGTGTGAAATCGGAAAGATGAAGCGAGAGCTTGAGACTCCGGTCTGTGATCTTTGATCCGGCCAATAAACTCCTCGAAACTCCGGTAAAAACTCGATTCCATACCGCTCTTTGTTAGCTTAGGGTTTCATTTTTGGAATTTGTAGGGAAATAAACCATATTGTGGCGGAAAAGTCATTAGATGTTCTCCACTGCAAAGGTGGGACTCCAATGCTACAATTCTCACAAGGTAATAACTCTTAAATTCTTGTGCTTGCTCTTATTATAGCCCACATGCTATCTTGCTTCCCAAGTTACCTCCAATACATGCCATCAAGTTTAAAGTTACGGAAACAGGAGTGTGTGTTTAGTAGTTTTTGTTATGTTTACCTCTGAATTCTCTGTTTTTTTTTTCTGGTTTATAATGTTTTAAGATGGTTAAGATTTGTTTTTATCTTTTATTAAGATCCCCCCTCTTGCTGTATTATAATTTATAAACAAGAAGTTATCATCAAAAAGAGTCATCCCATAACTCCTATCCGTCCACTATGATTCAGGTTTGCGATTAGTATTGTTTGGGAGAGAGCAGATAAAAAGTTCTTTGGAAAGAAGAAAAGAAAAAGACGCTACTACTAGGTCCTTGATGAGACATTAAGACAGTAACAGATTATTTCAACACCCAAAATATGTTTGTGTCTGCAAAGTCCAATCTATTGGGAAAGTACACAAAACAAAAACAAAACATGTGGTGCTTTGTTTCCTCCACCTCTCAAATATTTCCAACAACTCAAGATGACGACCCTTCGTTGTTTGGTTCACGAATCTGAATCGATGTTTTCGACAAGCTTGCTTCCAATTCATCAAGCTCATCCATGTCTAA